GTTAAAATATGCCCAAAGCAAGATTATATGCGTAATTTTTCCAAATCTATATTAAGATTGCTGTGTTAAAATTTAACTGTGCTGGGAAAAAAACAAGTGACAAATATGTCCACAAGTCTTTAATGCAAATGCAGTAACTTTTCAGATAGCTGCAGAGCTAATTGGGATATAAAGTCTCCAGTTGTGACAAGGAAACTTGTATTACCAGGCAAAGTGATTTGAAAGATATTAGAGAGGCACAGTGGGTGAGGGAATACTGGTGAAAGAGACAAGCTTGTCTCTCTCACCAACAGAAGTTGGTCCAGTAAAAGATATTGCCTCACCCACCTTGTCTCTCTAATATCCTGAGACCGACACGGCTACAATGTTGAAAGATAATGGTAGGAATACAAAGTGGAAGGTGATGCTTAATGATTGTGCAGGGAACAAGAAGAACCCTGCTCCATCTTGGCTAGTATCCTGTCTCTGAAGGTGGCCCACACCAAATCTTGAGAGGGAGTGTACAGAACAGGGCATTTATGGAATGATTCACCCCCTCTTCCACTTCTGGCTTCTGGTAATCCAGTTTAGGGTCTCCCCATGCAAGGGGTGCATTCCTTAACATGTTGGCTGATAAGCATTGATTGACCTATCCTCCATTAACTTATCCAGGTCTTGTTTGAACCTAGCTACACTTCTGGCAATCATAACGTCCCGTGGCAATGAGTTCCATGGTTAGTTGTGTGTTGTATGAAAAAGTACTTCCTCTTGTTTGTATTAAACCTGCTGCCTATTAATTTCCTCAGGTGACCCCTGGTTTTTGTATTGCGTGAAAGGGTAAAGGTGATGGGATTTACAGACCCCACACTAAGGGTAAGGGAGTTGTGGAACAGTATTGGGCCAAGAAGGCCCTGCCCCTCAGCAGCTGCAGACCATGCTCCAAATGAAGGGCCTGCTTAAAAGGGGACTCTGAGAGGCAACCAGGGGGAGGGTGAAGCAGCTTCTGGGATAGAGGGATCTACAGGGGAAGGGACTGGACTGGACTGGACTGGACTGTGGGTAAGACCCAATGGGGAGGCCAAGGGCTTGACCACTTTTCTCCTCCCCCTTCTTTCTGACAAGGGGGAACAATGAATTGGGTACTAAAATGTGAGCTGTGAAGCCCCAACTGACTGTCTGAATTGTTGAGACTGTGTGAGCAATTCTCTGCTGAGAGGGAAGCTGAATGCTAGGACCACACCCCAAGCTGAAGAGAGAACAAAAGAAGTAGAAAGTGGCCCAGGGGAGGCTGGCATGTTTGTATGAGCTAGAGGAGACTGAGCATCCCCTTCCCCTGTGGGCCCTGAACCAGGACCTGGTGGAGAGGGAGGGCCTGGGTCCCCCTACCCTTTTCCCCCTCCTCTAGCTGACCAGGGGACTGTGGGGAGCACCAAGGGAAAGGGGATTGTAACAGCTGCCAGGCCCTCAGATTGCCTGGCAAGATCATCCCAAAACTGGGAGACTGAGCCATTGCCTACCCACTAGGTCGGCTGTCTCTGAGTGAAGCCCGCTACACTAAATATCGCTTTCTCCACACCATTCATGATTTGAAAGACATCTATCATATTCATCTTCCTTAGTCATCTCTCTTCAAAGGTGAACAGTCATAATCTTTTAAATCTTTTCTTGTATGGAATCTGTTCTGTGCCCTGAATCATCTTTGTTGTCCTTCTCTGAACTTTTTCCAGTTTCACTATATCCTTTTTGAGATGAGCAACCAGAACTGGACACAGTATTTAAGGTGTGGGTGTACATGGATTTATATAGTGACATAATGATATTTTCAGTCTTATTTTCTATTCTTTTCCTAATAGTTCCTAACATATTGTTAGCCTTCTTAATCACTGCTGTGTACTGAGTGGAAGTTTTAATAGAATTATCCACGGTGACTCCAAGATCTCTTTCTTGAGTGGTAACAGCTAATTTAGAACCATAATTGTCTATGTATACTCGGGATTATTTTTTCCAATGTGCATTACTTTGCATTTATGAGTTTTGAGTTTCATCTGCCATTTTGTTGCCCAGTCACTCAGTTTTGTGAGATTCTTTGTAACTCTTCAAAGTCAGCTTTGGACTTAACTATCTCAAATAATGATATATTGTCTGCAATCTTTGCCACTTCACTGTTCACCACATTTTCTAGATCGTTATTGAATATATTGAACAGCAGGTCCCTGTACACATCCTTGGGAGACCCTGTAGTTCACCTCTCTCCATTGTGAAAACTTACCATTTATTCCTACTCTTTGTTTTCTATCTTTGAACCAGTTCCTGATCCTCTTATCACATGACTGCTTACTTTGCTTAAGAACCTCTGGTGAGAGACCTTGTCAAGAGCTTTCTGAAAGTCCAAATACAATCTATCCACTGGGTCAGTGACCTTTGTCTATGTTTGTTGACCCCTCCCCCCCTTAAAAGAATTGTAGTAGATTGGTGAGGCATGATTTCCCTTTACCAAAACTGTATTGACTCTTCCCCAACAAATCATGTTCATATGTCTGATAATTCTGTTCTTTACTATAGTTTGTACCAATTTGCATGTTACTGAAGGTAGGCTCCCTAGCCTGTAATTGCCACCATCTCCTCTGGAGCCCATTTTAAAAATTGGGGTTATGTTAGCTACCTTTCTGTCATCAGGTACAGAGCCTGATTTCATGCAACAATTTCCATTTCTCCAATTTCATATCTGAGTTCCTTTCAAAATCTTAAATAAATACCATCTGGTCTTGGTGACATTACTTTTTAGTTTTTCAGTTTGTTCTAAAACCTCCTCTATTGACACACAAATGTGGGACAGTACTTCATTTGTTACCCACATCAGAGCCAGACTTTCTGGACATCTCCCCCACATCCTCCGTAGTGAAGACTGATGCAAGACTTCAGTGTGCAAGAAATGCTACTTCTGTTGTTCTTTCAGTGTTTTATTCCCCTTTTTATTGTATATGTTGTGGGAAGTGAATGCTACAGTATTACAGAGAGATTTTCATTACAGTTTTCACTGACTCATATTCTAACATTTTTCTTTTTGGGTGAAACTTCCCAGATTTCATTTTAGCCTAAAGGTGATGTGTGGGGGGTGGACAGAGAGACTTTACAGAGACCTCTTCCCAGAGTTTTGAGGTTAGACAAGGATATTTTTTTGCGGGTGGGGGAACAGTTGGACCTGGTCAGCACTTCTGAAAATTCAGGCCCAGGGTTGAAGTCATGGGGGCTCAGTATTTAGGAAGGAATGCTGTGATTTTCCTACTCAGAAGGGTTGATGTAAGATTTAACTAGGAGAGGCAGGAGGAAAGTGGCCTGCTCTGGATAATGTGTTGTCAATGCAAATCCGAAATTGTACAGCCCTGGCACTGTAAGGTGGGTGCTAAGGAAGGCTGAAGAACGCTGGATTGACATTTTCTCTTCCGGTCGTCTCCATAGCGGCTCTGTTGAAGTGGAAGTGAGGGTAGTGGTGGCCAAACTCAGCGAGCGCCTCTGTTGGCCCTGGTGCAGGTTGGGCAGCTTTCTCCATGCGGACGCACTGGTTGGGAGGGAAGAGCCGCCTGCATTGCCCCATGTGCCCAGTGACCTCTGCCAGGGCAGCTCAGGGGTGCCCAGACGCTGGAAGGGATCTTCCTTAGCACTGTCTGTGGGGCGATGCCTGCAGGAGCCTGGATACCACCCCCCACAGTGGCCGCCATGGGCAGGTGTCCGCTTGCCCTCACTCAAGATGGCCGCCAGGGGCCTGTGCCCACTTGCCCGCACTCAAGATGGCCGCCAGGGGCTAGCTAGCCATCTTTGGTGTGGGCAGGAGAAGCTGGGGCCGCCCTAGCGGCGGGTCACGCAGTCACGTGGTCTCCCCGCCGCCTCTGATTGGTGGGGGCGGGGCGGGTCGCGGTCTCGCCGCCGCCGGGGCGATGTAGGGAAGGGCCGGGGCTGAGCGCGGTGACAGGAGCCGCCTCCCCCGGTGCTGCGGGCGAGAGACGGGGCCGAGCCGCGGGATGAGAAAGCGGAACGAGTCCGTCACGCTGGAGCATGAGCGCCCCGCCGGCCCGCCCGAGCCGGGCTGCAGCCTGAGGCCCAGCCTGCGCCTGGCCCGGCCCCACGGCGAGCCGGCCATGAAGCGCCCGCTCGGCAGGTGAGGGCGGCACCGCGTCCCGGGCGAGCCCGGCTCGAACCCGCCTCGGCCTCGCTCCCCCGCCCGCCTCGGGCGAGCCTGGCACCTGCCCCCCCCTCCGCCTCATCGTAGCGAGCCTGAGCCGAACCCCGCATCACCTGCCTGGGACAGGTATTCCCCCCCCTCCCCCCCGCCCCGGGCAGACGGCGGCGGGTCCCGGCCAGCGAGTCTGAGCCAAGTGTGGCTCCCCTAGGGCGACCAGACAGCCAGTGGGAAATATCGGGAGGGAGGGGGGTAATAGGAGCCTATATAAGAGAGAGACCCAAAAAACGGGACGGTCCCTATAAAATCAAGACATCTGGTCACCCTACTCCATCGCTGCGGGGCAGGGTCCGTGCCTGGCTGTCCCGGTCCCCAGGCAGTGCCGCTGCGGAGCCGACCAGCCCTGGGGCTCCTGCACCCCAGCAGAGCAGACGTGAGGGGGGAGCGGCTGGGGGTGCTGGCAGCGCAGGGACGTTTCACCCCAGGGTTAGTTTATAAATCATCTGACTCTGCTTATCGCTGTGGTGCCTCTAAACCACAGCGCTAAAGCTGACTCAGGCCAGCAGTGACTGAAGGGGTGTTTTTGCTTTGTGTCCCAGTGCCCTTTGGGCTGCCCTGTTCATGTGGAGGCAGGTTTTCGCGTCTCACAACAGCCATTAGTAGTCACACCCTCATTGGTAGTCTTATCACAAAAGCAAAGGC